GGGGGGATAGTAGAGAATAGGACAGACAGCAGAATGCATCAGACACTAGAAAGGCAATTTGTCAATCAATGGAAGGGTAACTGATGTGATACAGCAATTTGTATACGGGGTAAAATTGGGAGTTCATAACCCACTTGAATCAAACTGTGAAATATGATGTATTTAGAACTTTGTAATGTTTTGAATGACCAACAATAAAAAAAAAAAATTAAAAAAAAAAAGAGACTGTAAGAATATTCTTCCCTTTTCTTCATGTTCTTCAACCAAAATAATCAAATCACTACACATTAAATGCAGAGGCAGATATGGAACTCTATCTTCTACCGGTAGGTATAAGGGAGTTTTTAAAAAAAATGTAAAATAATATCACTCCTTTAACTATTTTTCTTCCCATTTTGGAAAAATTATTTTTCATTAAAATATTATATATAATAACATGCTTATGTAGAGAGGAATGTATAAATATTATTAAATTTCTCAGTTTTATGTGTGATTTGAAAATATCAGTAACTATAACTCAAACAAATAAAAGATATTGGGTTCTCAATAATTTTTAAGAATAAAAAGAGTCCTAAGACCAAAATATTTGAGAAATGCTCATTTAAAAACTCCAAAAATTATGTCAGGTAACTTTGTGAACTATAATGCCAACAATATTAACAAAGTCTTCTTTACTATTAATGTAATCAGATATCTAAATTCACAAAGATAGTAAAGCAGAGTAGTTTTTTTTTTCCTTCAGTTTTTTAACAAAACTAAAGAATGGTCAACACCAACTGAAGAAAATGCACTGCCTTCACCAACTATATTATATATTAAAGGTCATTTACAAGTGTTTATGCACTGTGAACAAATAGAACTCAAATGTCAATAAATGCCAATTTAAGAACAGAGACATTTTTAAAGACAACCTGATAAGATAGTTCAGCAACACAACTAAAATCTCCAAATTAATACAAATAAACATCAAATAAATCAGGTGGACTAAAATCAAGATGTCTGTATATTTTTAAAAATATTTTTTAATTGTAGATGGAAACAATACCTTTATTTTATTTTTTTATGAAGTGCTGAGGCTCGTCGAACCCAGTGCCTCACACATGCTAGGCACACATGCTCTACCAAGGAGCCACAACCTCAACCCCTATATGTGTAAATTTTTGTTTTGTTTTGTTTTTTGGTGGTGCTGGGGATTGAACCCAGGGTCTTGGGCATGTGAGGCAAGCACCCTATCAATTGAGTTATATCCCTAGTCCCGCCTAAATGTGTATTTTTAAGGTCATATTTTATTTGTTTTAACTTTTGATCACATTCAAAAGTTTCCCTTTTATCTTTCTTTAGGAACTTTCAAAATGCTTATTTAAAAAGAAACAAAAAACTTGGTAGAGTGCTTGCCTTGCATGTATAAGGCCCTGGGTTTGATCCCCAGCACAAAAAAAAAAAAAAAAAAAAAAAAAGAAAGAAAAAGAAACAAAAACCTTTTTGCTATTTTAGAAACTAAGCAAACAGAACAATGGTTAGAAATACAGTTTTTGGAACTGAATAACAGGTTCAAATAGTAATTCCCCTACTTTCTCAGGTCAGTTATCCAACTTGTCTAACCTAATCATTTTGCCTATAAATAGCTAACCATTATGGAGTTTCTGGGAGTTTAAGAGTGTGCATGTACAAGATCATGGCATTTGCAGGTAAATGGATGGCATTAGAGCAGATTATGCTAAGTGAAGTTAGCCAGTCCCTAAAAAACAAATGCCAAATGTCTTCTCTGATATAAGGGGGGTGACTCAAAATGGGATAGGGAGGAAGAGCATGAGTAGAAGACTACCAGTAAATAGGGAAGAGAGGCGGGAGGAAAAAAGAGGGAGAAGGGGAGTTGCACAGAAGATGGAAGGAGAACCTCATTGTTATACAGAATACATATATGATGTTGTAATGAGAAAAAGAAAAAAAAAAGTGTGTCACATTAGATTGGATAGAGAGAAAGGATGGGAGAGGAGGGGAGCAGTAGGGAGGATAGGAAGGGCAGGAGAATAGAATAGACAATATGATTGATGTATGTACATTCCATGTATGTATTATTATGTCAAAATATATTCTGCTGTTATGTATGACTAAAAAAAATTAAGTTAAAAAAAAACATGAACAAAAAAGAGTGTGCATGTKATATATCTAGCCCAGAGTAAATACTCAAAAAATAGTTGCCATTATCAATATAATATTTTTTAATATTTATTTTTTAGTTGTAGGTAGACACAATGTCTTGATTTTACTTTATGTGGTGCTGAGGGTCAAACCCAGTGTCTCATGCATGCTAGGCGAGCACTCTACCTCTGAACCACAACCTTCAGCCCTCAATACAATATTTTTTTAATATTTATTTTTTAGTTATAGGTGAACACAATATCTTTATTTTGTTTCTATGTGGTACTGAGAATCGAACCCAGTGCTTCATGCATGCTAGGCGAGCGCGCTACCACTTGAGCCACATCCCCAGCACCCTCAATACGATACTTTTATAATGAATGTATATATCTTACTTTCAGTTCCTTCTCAAGTCTATCTACTTCAGCTCCTAATGTATCAATAATATTTTCTCCATGTTTAAGCATAAAGGTCTCTAGCTCTTCAGGAGTTTTCACTTCTTGAATTTCCTGTAAAGAAAATAAAAGCAGAAAAACAAAATAAAATTTAAAAAAAAATCACAGTGGTACACTGATAATTCCTTTTAGAAATTTATGACAAACACTGATAAGTTTAATAAAAAGTTTAAAAAACTTTAGGATACAGGCAATGGATCACCTATTTCCCAAGAAACTCAGTTCAAGAAGATTGAGTACAATGCTACACAGAGGTAGCTCTATAAAATACTAAAGAGCTATAAAAATACAAAAGCACTATAAAATATAAAACAGTATTCACAAATCAGGTTAAGACAATTTCTACCTCAGTTCTTTAAATAAACAACTAAAGACCTAAGGATGGAAGTCCATAAAACTTTTAGAAGAGAGTATTTTTGTGAAAATGGGATAATGAAGGCTTCATCATACAAGATAGAAAGCACAAAGGAAAAGAGTACTATAATAGCTGGGTGCAGCGGCACACTCTTGTAATCCTAGCAGCTCAGGAGGCTGAGGCAGGAGGATGGTGAGTTAAAGCCAGACTTAGAAAAAGTGAAGGGACAAGCAACTCAGTGAGACCATGTCTCTAAAATACAAAAAATAGGTGGGAGGGAAAGAGAGGGAGAAGGGGAATTGCACGGAAGACTGAAGGAGACCCTCATGGGTTCACAAAATGCATATATGATGCTGTGAGGGGGAAGGGAAGAAAAAAAAGAGAGAGAGATAAGTGTCACAGTAGAATGGGTAGAGAATAGTGATGGGAGAGGAGGGGAGGGAAGGAGGGAGGGCAGCAGAATACAACTGACACTAGGATTGTGTACGTTTAAACATGGATGTATAAACAATGTGATCCTGCAATTTGTACACGTGGAAAAATGAGAATTAATACCCTATTTGAATCAAATGTATGATATGTCAAGATCATTATATTGTCTTGAGCAACTAATAAAAAAAGAAAAAATAAATAAAATATAAAAAATAGGGCTGGGATGTGGCTCAGTGGTCAAGTGGCCCTGAGTTCAATCCCTGATAGCCTCCCTCCTAGAATGTACTATAACAAACTGAAGAAAGATAATTCTGTCAATATAATCTAGTAAGAATGTGAAGCAACAGAAACATTGGTATGCTGATGGTGGGAATCGAATCAACATACTTTGGAGAAAAATTTGGCAATACCTTTGGAAGTTGAAGACAAGAATGTATGCTCAGTGGCTCTCACCTATTTTAAACCTAGCTATCTGTATACTACCCTAAAGAAATTTACGCATATATAAAGTAAGAAGCATGTATGAGAATGCCATCATGGAATTTTTTTTTAATAATTTAACATTGAAAAGAATATAATGCCTATCGACTGCAGATAGGACACATAAATTGCAACATATTCATATAGCATATTATATAACAACATGCTGTTAAGCAAATTTTAGAGAGATACATACAATATGAAATCATTTCTGTAAATTTTTAAACATCCAAAATGTTGCTTTATATAATGCTAAAACATGATGACAAATATAAAAATATGAATAGAAATGGTAGGTACCAAATTCATCATAATAACTAATTCTAGGAATAAAGGAAGGAGAATGCGATTTAGGAAGAGAAACTGGCTTGAGCTGTTTTTGTAATGCTTTATACTGTTTTTAAGATCTTAAGCTAACAGTACAGGTTGAGCCCCTCAGTCCAAAAATCCAAAATGCTCTGAAATTTTGAGTGATGACAAAAAGGCAATTCAGGTTTTCACATTAGGGATGTTTGATCCAAGTCTATGCAAATGATCTTAAAAACAAACAAACAAAAAACAACTCTGAAATATGAAATATTTCTGAAATCTGAAATATTTGGGATGGGATACTCAACCCATATAGCAAAATATTAACAACTGACAAAGGCACATGGTGATAATCTACACTGTTCATTATATTCTGTAAATTATCTTTTAAACTACAGCAGTCCCCTTTTTACAGTGATAATTTCAAGATCCCAGGAGATACATAAAACTATATAATTATATATACACACACACACACCCCCCTAAGATAAAGTTTAATTTATAAATTAGGTACAGTAAAAGAGTAACAACAAAAATTAACAATGAAATAGAACAACTGTAACAACATACTGTAATAAAAATTATGTGAATGTGGCCCCCTTCTTCCTTCTCAACTGCCAAAGTGAGGGTGGGCAGCATGGATAGCAAGGATATGCTGGATATAGGGACGATTCATGTCCGAGGAGGACAGCACAAGATTTCATCACTTCTCAGAAAAGCAATTTAATACTTATGAATGGTTTATTTCTGTTATTTTCCATTTAATATTTTGAATCGTGGTTGACTATGGGTAACTGAAGCATGGAAAGCAAAACTTCAAATAAAAGTGGGAGGAGACTGCTTAATATAAAGAAAAAAGCACACATTCTGGAGTTTGAGAGATCTAAATTCATAAACAAGACTCTGAAACTTCAGGCAAGATTAATTTACCTATACTTTAAAATGAAATGTTATTTCTTTACCTCTCAGGGTTAAGAGTAAATAAGATAAAACAGCTAAAATGGCCTGGCATATAGCAAGCATGAATAACTTCAAAAGTCTGCTCTTCTATTGTCTCCTCCAACCTACTCTATAGTAAATAAAAGGCTCTCTATCAATTTTTGGAATCTAACATGTTGACAGCTGAAGTGAGTTTAAGATCAATAACAGAAAAAGTTTTATTTACTTAGAATTTAAGTTTTCTAAGCATAGGATATATAAGAAAATTACAGACACATAAACTTACTTGTAGCATTTGGTCAAAATCTTGTTTTTCCAAATATGATCTTGTAACAACTCGTCCATCAAAATCTACTTCTGCCTTAAATCTTACTTTACCTAATCCCAGATCTGTGGCTTTAACATCATGAATTGCCCTGCAATCAATAACAATGCATACAAATTTATATACATATACACATATATACTCTAATGGCAAAAAGTCTAGAATTCTTGATTTTTTCCTACCCATGATGAATAAGGACTAAGATAGCTTCAGAGAATTCACCACTAAGTATCACTTACTAAATTTCACTAGATGTTTAGTTTTTTTGTGCATATTTCATACAATGGTACAAATATAACAAATATTATTTTATTATTCCATACATGTAAGTTGTAAAGCTCAGGTATTAAGAACACTAACTCTAAATTGTTTTTCTAAAATGTTGCTGTTATCTCACAAACCTTTTGTCCCATATATCCATTTAGTCATTTCCTAAATACCATTTACAAAAAATGTGTTGCTGATAATGGTGTCATAGAAAGCACACTAATTACTTTTCTGCGTGTATGTGGGATGCAGAGGATCTAAACCAGGATGTTGCATATACTAGGCAAGTGTTCTACTACTGAGGTACACTCCAGCCCTACCAACAACTTTTATATTCACAAACTTCTTTAATAGTCTTTGTACAACTTTGAGAAAAATTCTTAGAATGAGCTACTGATAACTGCCACATAGGATTGATGAGGGGACTAATGAGCTAACACACACACACACACATATATATATATATATATATATATATATATATATATATATATAATGCTTAATATAGTATCAAACATAAGGTAGGCATTTAATAAATGACTTTCATAAAATAGGTAAGGTGATATCTTCATTTTATAGATGACAAAGCAGTTCCAGAGGGGCATAAGTGACTTGCTCAAGGTAAGTCAGCTAGTAACTAATAGAATAGGACTCCCTAACACTTTAGCTCTTTAAATATCCAAGCCTGGAGTCCTTATATTACACCATCTGCCTCTCAGAAAGTAAAGTGGATGCTCATCTATAACTACTTTTCATTCCTCCTGCCCTAACCCTTAAGAATTAAATCTTTCCTAGAAAACAGTTGAGAAATTTTCTTCTTTGAATGGTGATCCCATAATATCTTTTCTTCACTGGATATATAAGAAATAACAAAACACTCTGAATCTTGAGAACACAGAGATGTACTAGAGAAGAAGCTTAAGTGAGACTATAAGCACTTTGCACTTCACACTAATTTCTGAATGATCTTGAGCAAGTTACTGTGTCCAAAATTTTTTATCCAAATAAATAAAGAAGCTGTATTTATCAACTATCTAGGGTGAAATAAGGATAAATAATTTATAAAGTTATATAATCTCAGGTTAAAAATAAAACTTGTCCAGACTGGTAGGAAGTAATATGTAATTTATTCATTTATTTCAAAGGCACATCTACTTCAGTCCTCACAAACTATTAATACATTTCGTTATTTAATTTAAACTTAAGTAGTAGCTAGTAAATATATTCTGATTCCGCCCCCACCCCCATGTTGTTGTTGTCCTTTTTTTTTCTCTTAGTGCTAGGAATTGAACCCAGGGGTAGCTCCACATCCCCATCCTCCCTTCTTTTAAATTTCTGAGACAGAGTCTTGCTAAAGTTGCTGAAACTGGTCTTGAACTTTTGACTCACCTGTCTCAGCTTCCTGAGTCATTGGTATTACAAGCATGCATCAAAGCACCCAACACATTTCTCATGTTCTTATATATAACTGCATATGGGAAAGTGGGGCAGGTATTTCTGAGATGCTCCCCAATGACAGAACCCCACCTCCTATATCCTGTATGATCCCCCTCTCCTTGAATATGGGTTATACCTAGTGCTTTGCTTCGAACAAAGAGAATATGGCAAAGTGATGAGACGTCATTTCCAACAGTTAACTAATCTGTGACTTTTTTTCTTGTTCACATTCAATTCCTACTGCCTTATCAATCTTCATGCAGTGCTTAACAAGCTGCCATGTTGGGGAGGTCCATGTGGCAAAGAACTCAATCTTGCCAACAATCTTAAGTTAAATATGCTTAGAAGTAACTCCTTCTCTAGGACATGGCACTTTGATTACAGTCTGAAAAAGTCTGAAGTAGAGAACCCATACACAAGCAGGGCCTGAATTCCTGACTCATAGAAACAGATAATAAAGGCTGTTTAAACCACTAAGTTTTGAGCTAATTTGTCACACAGCAAAGTAACTATTATACTATTTTAAAAATTGCATGAATTTTCTGGATTACTTTTATTTTCTCAAATAATTTAATCCACAGATTTTCATTCTTGCAGAAATTTTCAGATTGGCCAATCTTTTAGACATTAATTGTAAATAATATATGAAAAATATAAATGCATACATGTCAAACAATAGGGCACCAAAGTAAATGAAACAAAAACAAAAATGAAGGAAAAAACAAACAATTCAACAATAATAGCTAGAGACTTCAAGGCCCTACTTCTAATGGATAGAACAAGTCAGGATGACCAACAGGAAAACTAAAGTCTTGAACACTATAAGCCAAATAAACCTAACAAACATCTATATATTCATTTTTCAAGTGCACATAGAATATGATCAAAGAATATATATAGGTCATAAAATAAGCCTCAGTAAACTTAAAAGGACAGAAATAATATGAAGTATATTCTCTGATGACAACTGAATGAAATCAGAAATCAGTAATAGATAATTTGGGAAACTCACACATACTTAGAAATTAAAAAACACACTCCTAAATAGCACCCCCAAACAAAATAAAAACAAAAAGCAAAAACAATATGTTAAAGATTACAACACCACCCCCCCATGCTAATAGTAGCACTGTTCACAACAGTCAAGATATGGAATCAACTTAGGCATCAATCAATGGTTATACAAAGAAAATGTGGTATGTATACATAGTGGAATATAAGTAAAATAAGCACACTCAGAAAAACCCACATGTTCTCACTTGTATGAGGAAACTAAAAAGGTTATTCTTATAGAAACACAGTAGTGATTACTAAATGCTGAGAATTAGGGAGGGTTGGAGAGAGGATGACCAATTGGTACAGGGGTGTAGTTTGATACAAAATAATTTCAAATGTTATAACACAGTAGAGTATCTGTAATTGCCAACAATTAATTGTATACTTCAAAATAGCTAATAGGTGTAGACACAGAAGGAAATATCATACTGTGTTCCATAAACATATATAATTATTATGTGTCAATTAACAATAAAAATACAGCCAGGCACAATGGTGCATGCCTGGAATCCCAGCAGCTTGGAAGGCTGAGGCAGGAGGATTGTGAGTTCAAAGCCAGCATCAGTAATGGCGAAGCGCTAAACAACTAAGTGAGACCCTGTCTCTAAATTTAAAAAAATACAAAATAGGGCTCGAGATATGGCTCAGTAGTTAGGTGCCCCTGAGTTCAGTTCCTAGTACCTAAAACAAACAAACAAACAAACAACAACAACAACAACAACAAAAACATATAGTAAGAAAAAATTCAATTTTAAAAAAGGGAAATAAGAAAGTACTTTGAGATGAATCAAAACAATGCAACATATCAAAATTTCTGGATACAGAGAAGCAGTGTTTAAAAGGAAAATTTATATCTAGAAATGTCTATATTAAAAAAAGAAGTAACATATCAAATTCAAAATTTAACCTACCATCTTAAGACACTGGGCAGGGGGATAACAAATTAAATCTGGTGGTACTGGAAATGGAAACGAGGGCTCAAGAATGTTAGGCAAATGCTATACTACTGAGCTATACCTCAAGCCGCTCAAATTAAGATTTTAAAGTTTTGGTTTTCCACTTCATTATGAAACCACACTGCTGCTAAATTTCACTAAAAAACACCATGAGAATTCTAATATTTCTTTTAATAAGGATTAAAATCCTTATTAGACCACACCTAATAAGGTGCCAACACCCAATGAACCTAGGCTGTCATACAATGGACTGCCTAAATAAAGCATATAAGAAATCAGTGAATTAACATTTTCTATTATTTCAATGACTTTAGAGAGCAAACGATCACAATTAATAAACAAAGGGATATAAAATTAATTCCCAATTCCTTTAGTCACCTCATTTAATGACTCCTAATAGTTTGACTAAACTACAAAATTGGAAACAGTACAACTCTTCTGGTTATCTCCTAAGTCTTCAATTCTTTAGTTAGTTTTACACAATTTAAAAGATAGGGACTGGGGGAAAGACCACTAGTAGACCACTTAACTAGTAATGTGTGAGGCCTTGGGTTCAGTATCTACCACTATAAAAGAAATAACAATAAAAGAAATAACTAAATAAATAAAAATATAAAAATAATATAAGGAAAAATTTAAATATATTAAAAGTACATTTTCAAAACCAATATAAATTACATTTACTTTGGTAATTATTTCCCCATGAATAAATACTATTTCACATTTAATATATTCAACTTATAATTACAATACAAATATAAGGTAAATATAAATCTAAAGGTTTGATTTTAAGTGGTTCCACATTAAGGATCCAAAACTTTCTACTTTGCAAAACTTCTATTCTCGTTATATCATCTGACTATGACTTATTTTAATAAAGACAATACAAAATTTAAAAGGAAACTAAGTGTTCTTGCTTCCTTCCAAGACAATAACTCTGAAAAGTAATAGATTAGAAAATTCCAAAGGTTAGGAATCCAAAACTTCCTCCGGAACCAAACATTCCAGTCTTTCAATGTTTTTACAAGTCCTGACAACATTACTAGAATAAGGCTAACCTTACTGATGGGTCATTCTCCAGGAGTTCAGTAAGCCGCTGAACTTGCTCTGGTTGAATGGATCGTCCCAAGAGTGCTTCTGTGTTGGTGTAGATGAGGAATGCTGAGACCACGCCTAATAAGGTGCCCACACCCAACGAACCTAGGCTGTCATACAATGGATTGCCTAAATAAAGCATGTAAGAAATCAGTGAATTAACATTTTCTATTATTTCAATGTCTTTAGAGAGCAAACAATCACAATTAATAAACAAAGGGATATAAAATTAATTCCCAATTCCTTTAGTTACCTCATTTAATGACTCCTAATAGTTTGACTAAACTACAAAATTGGAAACAGTACAACCTGCTTTATATTACCTAAGAGTGTTATGAGCTTAATTATTTAGGACCTGTTTCTTGTGTCTGGTCATTATATAGGTCAAGGTTCAGAGTATTTTCAGAAGACATACCAGATACATAATAATATAATTAAGAGTCAATTTCTTTTAGATATATAGGTAGTACTCTAAAAAAACTGTTGTGGAATCAAAGTCTGAAAGAAATAAAAACTTCTTGTGCCTCCTTCCTAACAAAATCCTGTGAAAAAATTAAGAACTACAGAATATGACATGGGTGATCTTATTCAACCAAGGATAATAATTAGCTAGTACCACAAAGTAGTGGTTCTCAAAGTTTGGTTCCTGTAACAGGAGTTATCAGTAACACTTGAGAATTTGGTAGAAATAAAAATTCTCAGATGTCATCCCAGACCTTCTGAATAAAAAATTCTGAAGGTGAGGTTTAGCATTTTGTGTTTCCCCAAGCCCTCCAGTGTTTTGTTTTGTTGGCAGTACTGGAGATTGAACTCAAGAGTGCTCTACCACTAAGCCATATCCCCAGCTCTTTTTTATTTTTTAAGACAGGGTTTCACTAAGTTGCTGAGGATGGCCTTGAACTTGCCATCCTTCTGCCTCAGCCTCCTGAGCTGCTGGGATTACATGCACCACAATGCCAAGCTACAGTTTAAATTTTTATAAAAATTTTACCTACATGGCTTTTATAATTAGAAGTCTTTTTTATTCCAGAGAAAAAATGTCATCAAAATAATATTTAACTTTTAATGCTTGATAAAATATATTTATTTACTAGAAATCTGAATTTATATACTAGTTTTATCAACATGTAGCCAAAATATAATATTAAAAAATAAACTCACTTATCTCTACTAAGTGAATAAAGCATAATCTATTGAGGTTTGTAGAACTCAAGATCAAATATGCTCTTTACAAATCCAAACTTAAATAATTTTTCACTAATAACTTATGTTAAAAAAAAAAAGACCCCAAACTATAGGTCAACCAGAAAAACAAAGGGATATAAAATCAATACTTTTAGAAATATTTCAGATCACAGTGAACATAAGAAAATGCTCCTTTAGTCTCAAGAGGTACATTCAAAATGAGAAAGAACAATTTGTATTTCAGACCACTTCAAGAAACATTGCAGAACTGGAAGCCAATCACCTAAAATTATTTGCAAGAACAAAGGGGAAAGAATGGAAGAAACTCCATTCCAAGAGAATTCCAACTCCACATATTAAGCCTTTCATACCAAATGGTTCTTTCATTTTAGAAAATAAAATAGTTTTTCTGACTTACCTGTATTGTACTGGCCCTTGAAAAGACCTAACTAGCTATCAAAATGAAGATGAAACCAACTTAGAATTAAGGAAATATAAAGGCAATAACACTTACTATTGGACTTAAGAATAGGAAAAGACAAGTGAACAAGAGCCACAATATCTATTTATTAGAATTACTGGCTTTTTTTTTTTTTTTAGTTCTCTCTCATACTATCTTAATAAACTTATAAAGTTACTAGGACAAATGTTATTATACTTTTATAGGTAAAGTTATAGCCACAGGGTTTAGAGTATTATAGAAATCTTCTACTAATACCTTTCCTTATTAATTTATTTTTTTGCTACTGGGAATTGAACCCAGGGATATTTAAGCACTGAGCCACATCCCTATTTTGAGATGTGGTGTCACAAAATTGCACAGGACCTAAGTTGCTGAGGCTGGCTTTGAATTTGTGATCCTTTTGCCTCGGCCTCCCAAGTCACTGGGATTATAGGAGTGTACCACTGCACTGGATTCCTTATTTTTATTATTTATTTATTTTTAACATTTTTTTAAAAGATGTAGATGGACACAACACTATGCTTTTATTTGTATGTGGTGCTGAGGATCGAACCTGGGTCCCGCCCGTGCTAGGTGAGCGTTCTACCGCTGAGCCACAATCCCAGCCCCAAGGATTCCTTATTTTTAAATTAGAGAAACTTGCAACTCAGAGAAACCTGAACACTTTTACTGCCCAAATATCTTACATAAATAAATGGTTAGCATGGAATTAATATTTAACAATTAGTTTAAAATTATTCAATGATATAAGGAAAAAATCCCGTTTATTTGAGAAGTAAGTAGTACAAATAAATATATTTGAAAAGAAATATTTACCTGTTATAGAAGTAAGACCCATGCAAGTGGCTGCTATTGTCACTCCCAAGACTGCTGCAGTATCCTCCAATAATATAACATTTGTACTAGGATCACGACTTTCCATTACTTAATCATGAAGAAAGAGATAAGAAAATTTGTAAAAAATCTAACTTGTTACTATCAGAGGACATTTTAGTAAGCATCTATTTAAAATCAAACTATAAACTAAGATAAAAAGGTATGACAGACCATAATTTTAAAAATTCTGTTTAATATAAACATATTTTTTTGGCTTAAATGTCAACAATAAATGCCACATAAAGTCAAATTACTTTTTCAGGTTATGTAAGCATATACAGAAATACAGTAGTTTACTTAAGTCAAATCCAAACAGAAAGTACCCAAATGCTCCAAGTGCACATTTTTCCAAATGGCTGATTTATTCAGTAAGAGTCACATAGGGAAAACACTGAGATATATTTTATATCCATCTAAGTGGCACAGAGCAATAGCCTTAGATCATTTTAAGAAAATAAACAAGGAGACACTGATATCTGGCTTCTAAAACACATACCATATTTGTAAAATGACATTCCTTTGGCCTGAGCACTCCTACGAAGTTCATTTACTGCAACAAGAAGTGTTGCTGAAAGAAAAGCACTCATATCAGCAAGGAAGAGGTTTCACACCTCCAAACTCTCAAAAGATAAATTAATAATAAGCATAACACTTTAATGGCAGGATTGGCAACAAGGAAAAGTTCTATATTAACTCATTATCAAGACTCCAATTAATCATTATAATAAAATGAATCTCATATTTCTAAACCATAATCATTAAATGAGTATAACAACAGACTTAATTTATTGCATAGCCACTATTTGGCAGGTACCACCTAAGCAGAGTCACTTTTTTGTTGTTGTTACTGGGGATTGAACTGATTGGCACCCATTCCCCGAGCCACATTCCCAGCCCTATTTTGTATTTTATTTAGAGACAAGGTCTCACTGAATTGCTTAGGGCCTTGCATTGCTCAGGCTGGCTTTGAACTCATGATCCTCCTGCCTCAGCCTCCTGAGCCACTACAATTACAGGTGTGCACCACCACACCTGGCAACAGTCAGTTTTGAGCCTCCCAGTCTTTTGAAGCAGGTGATATTAACATCATTTTATAGCCATCAAAGATGAGGGGCCCCATAAATACATACAAATATGATCTGTCAATTAAAAATTATATAATTTAAAAACCAGACAAAGGGGATACCACACATACAAAATGACAATGCTTCAGGGGTATAGCAGTGAATTAAAAAGTTTCATTCCGTATTAGCAGTTCTATGACATAATACAATTATAAGTGTGTATTTCTGAAGTTTTAAAAGCTGAGTGTTTAAAACTCTAGTATGATTATATTTTTATATTGTACTCCAATGTTTTGTGCATTATGCAGTACTAAAGAACAAAGCACACTTTCCTCTTGTCACATCCATTACAGGAACAACCACAGTATATTATATAAAGACTTCTTTTCCTAAAAATAGATAAACCTTATTCCAGTTTTCTTTATTCAACAGAACTTAAACTATAGCAATGGAATGCTCAATATATATCACTATACAGTGAGACTTTGTGATGGCACATACCTCCTTCAGATACCAATGATCCTGCTAAAATACAATATGCCTAGAAAATAAATATTAAAACATACATTCAGTATTTCACTCAAGGATCACAATTTTTCATGTATAAAGTTTGTCATATCTAAAACAGAAAAATTCAAATCCAAGCTAGATGGTAAGGATCTTTGACAAGAAACAATTCAAACAAGGGCAATGACATACAAACACAAACACTGGAAATCTGGGGTTGTGGACCCTAGACACAGTTAAGATCCACACTCGTATTCAAATAACTTCTGGATTTTGTCTGAATGTCCAATATGAAAAAACTCCTGTTTCAGAAAGGCAATTAGTTATAAAAAATAATCAATTATTTCTTTTGGTAGCAGTATTTCCTTGCAGTCCAGGACATACTTAAATTTTCTTAAAATTTTTAAAATAAAATTTAAACCAAACAACTATAGAATTTTCAACATACCTTTCTAAACACCTACACTTTCCTGAAACAGAGGTTTTAAAAGTTTCAAACCTGGCCCCAAACCCTTATAATTCTATTGTAAAAACTGGCATTTTCCAAAATTCAGAGACTTGATTGAGTATAAAGAAAATGATAGAACAAGAACTAGAACACAGGCCTCCCAGTGACAGATACAGGCTCTTTCCACTGAATCTGACTGACAACTTGAAATTAATTACTGCTACTATGATTAAAATAGTAGCTAAACTTCCTAATAACTCTTTTAATCCTTTCACCTTTTTCTTGATTCGAGACATATTTATTACCCAATAAAATGAAAAAGCATATATCAGAGACAAAAATCTCAAAATAATTACTAATAAACTGGTTTATGATATGTGGAACCTATTATTTATTTAACAAAGAGCCACAGTCTAATGCAACCCTGTTTGTTTACTCAGAGACACATAAGTTATTAGAAACTTAAAATTTATAAACAATTGAAAATTGATCTCATTAATCTCTAATGATGTGCAAATTAGATATTAAGAGGCACTATATTAGGGCTGGGGTTGTGGCTCACCGATAGAGCACTAGCACATTCGAGGTCCTGGGTTCAATCCCCAGCACCACATAAAAAATAAAATAAATAAAGATATTGTGTCCAACTAAAAAATAAAAAAAGAGGCACTATATCTACAAAGTGGCCAAATCTTTGGAGGAGATATATGTTTGTTTACTTTCACTATATGAAATGTATAATTTAAAGAAACTGACCAATAAAAACTGTGGGAAACTAGTCAATAACAAATGTAATTAAACGTAGTTTAATAGGCTTGCTATTATATACCATGTTTAATAGGCTTGTTATTACATACATAAGATGTTAAGTGGGACTCTGTCTTAGTCTATGACCCAAAACAGAAAACAAAATTACAGTACCCCTACATTCTAGAATGAAGTACTGTTAGTACTTCCAGTCTTTGCACAGAAGATAGATCCAATCTGAGACCTCTATTCTCTAGACTACATCCAACCCCAGCTCTATACCCACTTGTCTATTTAAGAAGAGCTGGAAGTTAAGGATATCAAAAGTCAAGATTTCTTCAGTGCAAGCAGTTGAGCTGTTGAGGTTGCTCAGAAAGCTTGATATATGTTCCAGGAGTTTGGAGATAGCATGTCTGAAGCTCCGTTGAACAAGAAATCTCAAGGCAAGACTGTGTCAGCTGTGTCAGCAGAGTAGGCGATTATGTTTGGGGAAAAATTTGCACTCCCACAGAAGGCATGTTAAAAGATGTCTAGCTGGGTGCAGTGGCATACGCCTGTAATCCCAGCAATTCAGGAGGCTAAGGCAGGAGGATCACAGGTTCAAAGCCAGCCTCAGCAATTTAGTGAGACCCTGTCTTGAAATAAAAAAATAAAAAGGATGGTGGGGTGAAGCTCAGTGGTAAAGTGCCCCTAAATTCAATCCCCAATACAAAAAAAAAAAAAAAAAAAAGGCTAAACATAAGGCTCAGATATATAGCCCTGAATGGACTCTTTTGGAAAAAGATAAACTGTAACAAAGGTATTCTTGCCAAGTGCAGGGCAACCTCAAATATGTCTGAGTTAGAGGAAGTGCTATGTAATTTGTGCTTGTCAGGGGAGCTAGTCAGAGCAGCCAAGCATTGTAATCTCCAGGAAATGTTCATGAAAGACAAAGAAAGCTTTAAACATCTACAAAGGCCAGGGGAAATCAAAGCAAAATAAAACTGTTGTGTCAGTACTTTTTTGTCTCCTATCACAACCTTGGAGCTGCCTTTAGGGAAGGGGAGAAGGAAAGGAGATTAGGCAAGGCCATACAGAAGATGGACCGTCCTTCTATCTTTCCAATCCCTCAGGGCAGGCAGGCTTCTTACTGAGAAAAGGAGATACTTTAACTTTTAAATACAGTTCCAATTTATGACTAGTAACATAAGAGTGGATATTTTAATTATTGACATGAGACTATTCTTAAAACTAAAAGAGAACAGAGGTGTGTTTGTTCTTCAACAGCAACTCAAAACAGAAGAAGTTAATAGAACTGCCAAAGATTCTAATCAACAAGGTCAGGCTTAAAAATTTTCCTTATGGGGCTGAGGTTGAGGCTTAGTAGTAGAGCGCTTGCCTACTAAATGTGAGGCACTAGGTTTGATCCTCAGCACACATAAAAATAAATAAATAAATAAATATACTATGTCCATCTATAACTAAAAGAAAAAGTTTAAAAAAAGCCTTCCATATAGAGATCCTTCTGTTTAATATCACAAAATATTATATAGATTTAGATGTCTTACTCTAAAAAAAATAGCTATAGATACATTACCCTACATCACACAATCAAGAAGGTATGTTATTCCTGTTCTTTAATACCAATATGACAAAGGCATTTTACCGTGCTTAAGTCATTATGTCATATTATTTCAAAAATGAGGGAAGAAAAGAAAAGAGGATTACCCATAGAAGGGATTCCATTGGTTGAGGATGAAGCAATCCCATAACTCCATGGTACCAAGAGAGTCCTGCACCCATCATGAAAATACCAACACCACTAATTAGTGAAGCAATATAGCGCATGTTTGAAAATCCATACCTGAAAAATTAAAAGAATACAATTTGCAAAACATGTGTTTAATACTTTTTTAAAAAAAAAATTCTTAGAACATCAAAATGTTAAAAGTTTTATATTTAAACAAAATGTTAAGTGCCAAATACAAAACAGAAAAGCTAAATATAAAATGGGAAAAAAACTGCAAGATCTTTGAAAGCAATATAAAAGTAAAGAGAATGTCATTTAAATTAGATATTTTCTAGTTCTTTTTCCATATAGTGTATTTTGATTTACTAGGACTTCTTTACTATTATGTTATCAAAATTAATTTTCAAAAAATACATTCAGTGGGGCTGGGGATGTGGCTCAAGTGGTAGCGCGCTGGCCTGGCATGCACGAGGCACTGGTGTTTGATCCTCAGCACCACATAAAAATAAATAAAGATATTGTGACCACCTAAAACAAAAAATAAACATTTTAAAAAATACATTCAGATGTTTAATGAATTGGATGACATTTAAATATCCTTGTAATAGAGCTTCTAATGGAATATTTTGGTCTTGTGATCAACCTGTGATTACCTGTAATTTGAGGCTCAAAACTAAACAGTTTGGTATATTCAATTTATTGCTGCTTCTGAATAGTTTAGCAAACAGTAACTGTCAACTATTACTAGAACCAAGAGCTTCAGTTTTCTGGGTGGTTCTATGGCTAATTTCTTAAAATCGTAATTTTTTTCCAAGCATTTTGTTTAAAATGTACATTAATTTGTTTTAGTGTAAGTATCATAAAAAGAAGTTAAATATATATGAGAAAAACAATCACTTCTTCATAAGAATAATTCCTGGGAAGTTTACTCCCAAACCCAAATTCTACTGTACCCTTTTGGCATATGCAAATTCAAACAAGAATTTTCAATCAAAACTACTCTTTTTTTAAAAAAAAGATTTAATTTTGCCACAGGAAAATTCCTCGTTTTACCAATTTGATTTAGAAAAACTTACTTCCAAAGTTTCCTACAAAGCAATATAGTATATACATATTTATTTAAGTTAAAGTAAATTAGGATCTAAATTAAGTGGCATAACTTTTTTTCCCCGCTTTGGTACTAGGGATTGAAGCCAGGGGTGCTTAACTACTAAGCCACATCCCCAGCTTTTTAAATATTTTATAGAGACACAGGGTCACAGTGGGTTGCTTAGGGCCTTACTAAGTTGTTGAGGCTGGTTTTGAACTTGAGATGCTCTGCCTCAGCCTCCCAGCCATTGGGATTATAGACCTGCACCACCACACCTGGCTAAATGGCATAATTTCATTTCAGTTGTTTTCAAGAAATTTTAGGCTCTTATTGAAAAATTTATCATGTAGATCTGTACTGTCCAATGTGCTAAGTCACTACCCACATGTGACTATACAAATTTAAATTAAAACTAAATATAGATCAAAATTTAATTATTCATTAGCACTGGACTTATTTCCAGTGCTCAATAATCACAAATAGTAGACAGATAAAAAATAGTTTTATTACTGCAGAACATTCTACTGGGCAGTACTAAAGTAAATAACTAAAAATAGCCTAAAAAGAAATTTTCACAACATAAAATTGAAAATTTTTACCTTCTGATTTAAAATATTTGGCATATAACAATGGTCAGGAAAAAAATTTTTTGGAGATAGTAAAGCTATTACTAATAGCTAATCTACTATTACAATTAGCAGATTAGGGAACTAGTTGTTCTCTATATTAGTGATTAATTATTATAGTATATACAAAATGTTATTATTTATAACAGGAGTGCTTTCTTTCAAGTAAGGAAAGGCATTTATAAAGCATAGATACAGACACCTTCACAGAAATAAAAGTGCATTGTGGGGGTTACCGGGAATTGAACTCAGGGGCACTCGGCCATTGAGCCACATCCCCAGCCCTATTTGCATTTTATTTAGAAATAGGGTCTCACTGAGTTGCTTAGTGCCTTGATTTTGCTGAGGCTGGCTTTGAATTCACAATCCTCCTGCCTCAGCCTCCTGAACTGCTGGGATTATAGGTGTGTGCCACTGCACCCAGCCAAAGTGCATTTTTTTCATCCTAAGATTGATCAAATTCTATTGATAAAACTAGTAACATAATGATGCATGTAAAATTCAAATATTTTATTTTAGATGGTTGTTAAAAGCAAAAGAAAAAACTATCACATAATTGATATGATTCAAAATAATATATTCTAAAATGTATACTCATTTTACAAATATGTAATTTTAAAATATTAACAAGATATTTTAAAATAAAAATAAAAGGATTAAAATAAGTATATATTTAATGAAAGTTATCTGCAAAACTTTAGACTGGGCAGCCTATTAGTCTACATTTGAAGTATGCTTCCTGGACCGAAATAAAACAGAACTCTAAGGTCCAAATAAATGCTTTATTATTATCGAATGTGGAGAACAAAAGATCTTCATGCTGTGTTTCAAAGCATTAAAATAATTTAAAATTCATATTCAATTATATCTTAAATTTATTTAGGCACAACAGTTAGACCTACATTTTAGATACTACAGTGGAAGAAATGGCCAGATCTTTTACAAATTGCAGATATATAAATTGCAGGAGATTTCTAAAATTTAGTTCCTTTGATTTCAATAACTTGTTGCCAAAAAAAAAAAAAAAAAAAAAAAAGAAAAGAAACAAAAAGGCAATATTCTTACGGATGAGTAGGATCTGGTGTTTGAATAGACTTACTGATGCCCAATGCTAGTAAACCCTATGGAGAAGAAGGAAAAAACATAAATAATCATTAGCAAGATGGAAAATATTATATGATTAAGCCAATTTTGACAACAAGAAAACTCCATAACACATGTCCAATGGCCCAGCAATTTTAGTTTTCGGTACTCAGAAAAATAAATGAATCTCAAAGGGCTCAAAACAACACTATTTATAAAGACGAAAAACACAAAAGCAACTTTAAAATCCATCAGTTTGGGAAAACAAGTAATAAACCTTAAATTACTTTTACGATACTTTAAAAGAATGTGGATGGGGCAGAGCTTTTTATACTGACATGGAAACAGCTTTTAGACCTACTACAAAGTGGAAGCAGGTAGAAAAGCAAATTAGGCAGTACATAGAATATAAACTCATGTTCTGTAGTTTTAATAAACTACTTATAAAGCACAAGAAAAGGTCTGAAGTAACCTATACTTAACTGTTTATAACTCAAGTTTGTTAGGATAGTCTGCAGTATCTATTTTTTTACAAGATAAATAACTACTATAGCTGTATAAACAAAAACCATGCACAGGAAATACACACATCAATGTGCTGTGCACAGGGCACTGATTATCTGGGGAATAGAAAGGAAGAAATAAAGATGAAAAACTTATAATTAAGATTATATATCTTGGCTGGGAGTATAGCTCAGTGATAAGAGTATTTGCCTAGCATGTGCAAGGACCTGAATTCAATTCTCAGCATGCAACCCACACAAAATTTTATTTCTTTTTTCTTTCTTTTTTTTAATATTTATTTTTTAGTTGTAGTTGGACACAACACCTTTATTTCACTTGTTTATTTTTGTATGTGGTGCTGAGGATCAAACTCAGGGTCTTGCACGTTTGAGGCAAACGTTCTACCGCTGAGCCACAACCCCAACTCAAAGATTTATTTCTTAAAAAACAAAAACCTAAACATGGTAAATTGCTAACTTGTGTTTAATTCTAATAACCAGATTCTCACTTTCCCCCCTTTCCTCCTTTTTTTCTTGCCTTCACCTTTCCTTCCCTTCTTTAATTTCTGAATTTGATATGTTGTTAAAGAGTTATCCATTGGAACTTCTCAATATAAGTATGCTTGCTTGTAGTAAGTACCATCCATTATACTTTGATGTGAATTTTGAAATCTATAAAACTATCTACCTCATTAGAACTATTTGTTTAATAAGAATGCAAAGCCTCTACATGAATGTCCTATATAATTTTAATTGACTGATTCAGGACCTTCCTGTATTTCAGTATAATACCAAATAATTAGATATATAAGGCTTCCAGATAACCAAATTTCTCAAAGATGAGTTTTATTAAAAATTATAAAAAATTTATAAAGAATAAAGCATCTTTAAAATGGTCGAAACAAATAGATACTGGATTTTTACGTTTTGATATTGGAAATCCTACCATAAATACACAGAATATTGCAAGTCCTTTTTTTTAAAAAAACGGATTCCCAAGGAAGGTGGGGTGAATTATCTAAATTACAGGTGGTGACTCTTCAGTGAATTAAACTAAGAAAATGGGAGTAAATTAAAAGGAACATATAGCTGGGCACGATGACGCATGCCTGTAATCCCAATGACTCAAGAGGCTGAGGCAGGAGGATCTGAGTTCAAAGCCAGCCTCAGCAACTTAGCGAGCTGCTAAGCAACTCAGTGAGACCCTGTCTCTAAATAAAATACAAAATATGGGGCTGGGGTTATGGCTCAGTGATAGAGCGCTTGCCTACCATGGGTTAGGAACTGGGTTCAATTCCTCACACTGCATATAAATAAATAAAGGCCCACCAGCAACTTAAAAAATATTTTTTAAAAAATGCAAAATAAATCTCTAGCAATTAGAGAAATGCAAATCAAAACTACTATAAGATACCATCTTACTCAAGTCAGAATGGCAGCTATTATGAAGACAAACAACAATAAGTGTTGGCGAGGATATGGGGAAAAAGGCACACTCATACATTGCTGGTGGCACTGCAAATTGGTGCAGCCAATATGGAAAGCAGTATGGAGATTCCTTGGAAAGCTGGGAATGGAACCACCATTTGACCCAGCTATCCCTCTCCTCGGTCTATACCCAAAGGACTTAAACAGCATACTACAGGGACATAGCCACATCAATGTTTACAGCAGCACAATTCACAATAGCTAAACTGTGGAGCCAAACTAGGTGCCCTTCAGTGGATGAATGGATAAAAAAAAAAATGTGGCATATATACAAAATGTAATTTTACTCAGCAATAAAAGAGAATAAAATCATGGCATTTGCAGGTAAATGGATGGAGTGGGAGAAGATAATGCTAAGTTAGCCAATCCCTAAAAAACGAATGGTGAATGTTTTCTCTGATATAAGGAGGCTGACTCATAGTGGGGTAGGGAAGGGGAGCATGGGAAGAATAGATGAATTCTAGATAGGGCAGAGGAGTGGGAGAGAAAGGGAAGGGGCAGGGGATTAGCAAGGATGGTGAAATGTGATGGACATCATTATCCAAAGTACATGTATGAAGACACGATTTGGTATCAACATACTTTATATACAACCAGAGATATGAAAACCTGTGCTGTATACGTGTAGTAAAAATTGTAACACATTCCGCTGTCATTTATTTTTTAAAAATCAATAAAAAAATTTTAAAAACAAAACAAAAAATACAAAATAAGGCTGTGAATGTGGTTCAGTGGTCAAGTGCCACTGAGTTCAATCCCTAGTATCCTAAATAAATAGAAATATAGATCTCTTAAACTTGTACATTAAAATAGTGATGAACTCACCTTATGCTATGAATGTATATATACATGTATACATATGTATATAATACTTATGAAATATTTGATGAGGATTTAATCATTTTAAAATCCTTAATATTCAGATTGTGGGGGCTAGGGATGTGGCTCAAGCGGTAGCGCGCTCGACTGGCATGCGTGCAGCCCGGGTTCGATCCTCAGCACCACATACCAACAAAGATGTTGTGTCCGCCAAGAACTAAAAAATAAATATTAAAAAATTCTCTCTCTCTCTCTCTCTCTCTCTCTCTCTCTCTCTCTCCTCTCTTAAAAAAAGATTAAAAAATATTCAGATTGCATATGTAATAAAGTCTGGGATATCAACAATAATTTTTTTTAATTTTGATTTTTTAGTTATCAAAGGACCTTTATTTTAGTTTATTTATTTTTATATGGTGCTGAGGACCGAACCCAGTGCCTCACACATGCTAGGCAAATGCTCTACCACTGAGCCCAACCCCAGCACTCAATAACTATTTTATAAATCAAAATTTGTGCCACATATATTCATATAAAAATCAGACCTCATAGTTCATCCGTAATCCTGCTCTCCCTCAGAGGTAAGGTAGAATCACAGTTATATTGGGTAAGTGTCATTCTAGACTTTTTCCTGCACATTTATCTTTCACACATAACCCACACTTGTTAATGTATATATAACCAGTACAACATAGTACTAACATCTAGTGGCAAAGAAGCATCATCAGTGCTCACTGCTCCATAATCAAACCTTCCCTTTGACATTCCTTCATTACTATACATGCAGCTGTTACATGCTGTCTTGGCAGATCTTTCTAGTTTTTGGTTTTTAAAAAATATTTTTAGTTGTAAATGGACACAAAACCTTTATTTTTTTAATTTAATTTTTTTATGTGGTGTTGGGGATCGAACCCAGTGCCTCATGCAAGCTAGGCAAGTGCTCTACCACTGAGCCATGACCCCAGCTCCTTTCTAGTTGTTTTAGTGCATATGACCTGCTTACAAGACAAAGGAGTGTGTCTTCTTCTAAACACTTACTACACTGAAAACTCAAGTGTTCAATAAACTCATGTGAGTTAATATTAAATAATGTGCTGTATATTATTTAGCAGAAAAGCTTTCAAACTCTCAAATTGTGAAACTAAATCATCATTAGAGATAAAGGTCTAATTTAAAGCTGGAAGTGTTTTGTTGCTCAGAAGAAAAAATACGGCATTAAAATACTGGAAATAATTAAATTTTTAGAAATGTTATTATAGATCTCAAAAGGAACAGTGTTCAAAAGGATATGAGAGATACAATTTCCATCTACTGTATGAGGTCCAATTAAAATCTTTTTCATAGAAGCTTTTTGAAAACTCTAAGGCATACTCTTCACTTAGGAGTTCTTTTTTAAAAATATTTATTTTTTAGTTTTAGGTGGACACAATATCTTTATTTTATTTTTATGTAGTGCTGAGGATCAAACCCAGTGCTTCACGCATGCCAGGTGAGCGCTCTACCACTGAGCCACAACCCCAGCCCCTCAGGAGTTCTTAAAGCACTGAATACCACATGGTTTCTAACTTACTTTTTTCTTATTTTGTTTATTCCTTTACAAAAATTCATTTCTTTTTCTAGTTACAAAACTAATACATGCTCACTTTAAAGAAATTTAAGTACTACAGGAGATGGGATTATTTAAGAGTCTGGAGTACATTTCAGACACTTTCTCTCTCTCTCTCTCTCTCTCTACACAAACACACACACACACATTTATCTTTATCTCTATGTACATTTTTAAATTTATCCTTTTTTTTTTGTATTGGGGATTAAATCCTGGGATGATTTATCACTAAACAACATCCCCAGTCCTTTTATTTTGAGACAGAGTCTTGCTAAGTTGCTGAGGCTGGCCTTGAACTTTTGAGCCTCCTGCCTCAGTCCCCTAGGTTCCTGGGATTATAGGTGAGCATCCAGCTTCTATATTGCTTTTGTGAATATGTTTGTGCCCTATTTCAGAAAGGGGTGTTCATGCTTAAATATTTTATCGCAATTTACATGTCTTTTTGCACTTTGCTTTTCTAATATACTGATAGGTGGATGGATAAAACAATTCAAAAAATCTGACAGACCATTTCAATAAACTCAACCCATCCATTTCTAAGCATCATCAACTATAAATATATGACCAAATCTATTTAATTTAATTCACATCTATTTCCTCATAAATGTTTTGAAACAAATCCCAA